CGCCTCAGCCCGTGGCCACAGGGCCAGGCCCCCGCCAGCCCGAGTTGTCCTGCTCGTGTAATGACCCCACCGCTTGCCTCACCTCCCCACAGCCCTCGCCTTTCCCGCCAGCCGAGTTCCTCGCCCGCTTACCCGGCACCAGCGCACAGGTATGTCCTGCCGTCTGTCCCCTGGCTCTCCCAGCGCTCGGGTCTGCCTGCGGAAAAGTTTCTGTTTATTTACACTATTTACTTCCCGCTCATGATCCTCCAAGTATCTTGGCACAGCACTCTGCAGGGTCTAGCCCACAGTGACAAGACGGTGCCTGTGCTATTTTAGATGGTTTGTGCAATAACAATAAATTTGCACGGAGTAACACTTGGATGGCATATTCTGCTTTCCCCCCGCTGGTGCCTCACCGCTTTGCAAATTCATTACGTTATTAATAGATCAGTAAGCAGCTTGAAAATCTTTACAGAAAAGCTGGTCTTAAAAAGCCTAAATTTTCACATGATAAAGTTTTTCCATTAATCAGAATTTTTACTTATGTGACAGACACAGAAGGAGTAATTTCACTTTTTTTTTTTTTAAATAATGACTTCTGTAAATTACTTCATATTATTCTCTAAACACCCATTTGTGTTTCAACCCTGTAACTGCCTTAATAGAATGTCTATTCTGTCTATTCTATGTCTATTCATAGATTGCTGGTTTTGCATTTGATACATAAAACATAATGAATGCCTATGTCTAACACTGAATCTTAGTACAACTTGCTTAGAGTATTTTTCAACTATATGTATACAGGCAGTAAACAGAAATAATCAAGTAATTCTTGCTAGTATTTCCTATTTACAAGCATAATTCTCCAAAACTTAAATATCTTTTGGTTTTGTCATCTTTTTTTCTGATTCAGAATCCCAAACTCTTTTCACCTCAACAGAACTAATCAGAAGGAACAGAATTTATATTGTCAGAATCTGCAGATTTGGCAAAGAAAACATCTGATTCGATTCTGCCCAGGTTCCAGCAGAAGCCAGGCAGGATTTTTTTAGAGCTGTCCAGTTTGCAGAGATAATGATACATATCTCTAAGCAGACAAAAAAGAAAGTAGACAGCTGACTAGCCAAAAAATTAAATGCAACCTAAAGCACTGTGCTACATTTCCCTAGCTTTTTATAATGATCCAAACACTCATTTTTTTCCTTCCTTAATCTCAATTTGTAGTTGTCAGTAACTACAATGACACCTTCACAAAATATAAAAACTCATCAACTCACTGCTAATAAACTCACTTAAAACAGCTTATTAAGACATGACCTGTAGGTGTGTGAGCAAACAACATGCAATCAAACACAGCACCAGTACCTGTAAAGCTAGATGAAGTACCAGGATTACTGCAGCTTCCTCGGGCAGAAGCAAAGCATATGGGGGTATAATGGAGCATGAATTTACAGCAGCAGAGATGTACAATGTAGATTAAAGCTTCATCTGCGAGAACAGGCTGCAGGGCAAAACAAAACAAAACAAAAACCCAACCATTTTGTCTTTTTTTGGTTTAAGGCATAATGAGCCGCAAATACTTTTCCGTAGAACTAGGGCTCCCTCTGCTGCTAACATGGAAGTAAAAACCAAAACCTTCCCTGAAACCTACTAAAAACGTGCTCCTGAAATAGACCACGATTTTAAATATGTCGAGTTATAAACATTCTTCCCGGGCTGTTGTGATGGATGCAAGTTTTTCAGGTAGAACTGATAGGCTCCTGCTATCCATTTGGAGCATGCAGCATGGAAAGGTCCACACAAAACTCATTCCAGTCACTAATTGTATCTGCATTCACTGAAGGAGTTCTTAATTAAAAGTATCAGTGAAACAAGTACTGGATACTTTTTGTTAATTTTTAAAGCTAGACAAGAAATATTTGGTAATATATCTTCATAGAAACCCCTATTTGTAGGTACTTGTGGCTTATTTATCCTGGTAGAACAGCTTTTGGTGTTCAAGCTGTTTCTTCGTTTAAGTGAAATCTTAATGAAAGACATACAGCCTTTAATAAGAACGTCTGACTGACTAACATTAAAACCTGAATTTTGAGATGTCCGAGTCAGTCATTTCATATGATTGAAGCCATTAAGTGAGTGTGTCAGCAATAGTTGCTTTGAATTGCTGTTAGAGTGACTTGGCACGAAGCCTGGTGAAGGGCAGCGCCTTCTGTCAGCCCCCGCTCTCGGATCCCCGACGGGGCCAGGCCCCCCCGAGGGGCAGGAGGCGGTACCATGGCACGCTTCTTTGGTCCCAGCTGCCCACTGTGAACTGAACTTGGAAGCAGCAG